TAGCCGCGCGCGGTGGCGGGCGCCTGTAGTCCCAGCTACTCGGGAGGCTGAGGCAGGAGAATGGTGTGAACCTGGGAGGCGGAGCTTTCAGTAAGCCGAGATTGTGTCACTGCAGTCCAGCCTGGGCGACAGCGAGACTCCATCAAAAAGAAAAAAAAAAAAACCCTGTGAGATACATATCATGCTAATTTTACAGACGAGGAACAGCCTCAAAAAGGTGAAGGTTTGCCACACAACCGCAAAACACTGTGGATGGTAGATTCAGGTGATCAGACGTCTATACCATTCTTTCAAGTAATAAGCTCCCCCCCCCTTTTTTTTTGAATCAGTCTCTGTTGCTCAGGCTGGAGTGCAGTGACACAAGCACCGTTCACTGCAGCCTTGACCTCCTGGGCTCAAGAGATCCTCCCATCTCAGACTCCAGAGTAGCTGGCCCACAGGGGCGCCCCACCATGCCTGGCTAATTTTTGTATTTTTAGTAGAGACGGGGTTTGGTCATGTTGCACAGGCTGGTCTTGAACTCCTGGGCTCAAGTGATTCCCTGCCTTGGCCTCCCAAAGTGTTGGGATTACAGGTGTGAGTCCCCGTGCTTGGCCCTCATTTCTTTCAATTATAAAAAGTCAGCTCTTTGAAAAAAAAAAAAAAAGGGGCAAAACAGGAATTCCACTTGCCTAGTAAACCACATGTTCCAATATCTTTATTAGTAATACAGGTGATATTTGATCCCCTCCCAAAACAGAATACCAAGTCTGTTCCAGTATTTTCCCAGTGGATTCTCAAGCTTAAGTGTACATCAGAATCAGTCGGAGAGCTTGTGTTAAAACATTGCCCCGGTGCCCAACCCTGGGTTTAGGATTCACTAGGTCTAGGTTGGAGCCCAATAATTTGCATTTCTAATAAGTTTTCCCAATGTTGATGCCTGCTATTTTAGGAATAAGTGGATGGAAGACAAAAAAAATGGGGGAGATTAATATCCTTACTTAGTACTACTACTTTGTTAGACTAAAAGGGAAGTTATTATTCTGTGGAATGCTTTTTTTAATTGAGACAGCTTCTGTCACCCAGGCTGAGTGCAGTGGCGTGATTTTGGCTTACTGCCACCTCTGCCTCTCGGGTTCAAGCGATCCTCTCGCCTCAGTCTCCTGAGTAGCAGGGATTACAGGCACACACCACGCCCGGCTAGTTTATTTTTATTTTTTTTGAAGACAGAGTTTCACTCGTTGCCCAGGCTGAAGCGCAATGGCGTGATCTTGGCTTACTACAACCTCTGCCTCCCAGGTTCAAGTGATTCTCCTACCTCAGCCTCCCGAGTAGCTGGGATTACAGGCATGTGCCACCACGCCCGGCTAATTTTGTAGTTTTAGTAGAGATGGGGTTTCACCATGTTGGCCAGGCTGGTTTCAAACTCCTGACCTCAAGTGATCTGCCCTCCTTAGCTTCCCAAAGTGTTGAGATTACAGGCATGAGCCACCACGCCCGGCCTGGAATGTTTTCTTAAACAGCTACATTTTGCACCTGTTTTCTCAAAGCTTCCTTCTTTACCTACCTGCATAAGATGCCTGAAATCTTTGCCCCCAGTCCACACTCCAGACCAATTAAGAATCCTTAAGAATGACTCAAGCAGGCATCAGTACTTGTAAAGCTCCCCAGGTGATTCCAATGCCTAACCAAAGTTAAGAACAGCTGAAAACCTCCCCCAACCGAGGGGCACAGTGAATAGGTCATAGGTGTGCCTATTATTCCTATTAGGAATTGGGACACAGAAGCATCCTTTTACCCGTGTGTGCCATTCAAATATTGGGACTATGTTAAAGGCAGCACCCCGACTGTAGGAAGCAGTTCATTTGTTTGGATGAGATGAAGTTGTCCCTATATAACCTCTACCTCGGGCCAGTAGTTAGAGTGAAATATGTTTCAGTAGATGTTTGACAGCAAGTCTGCTTAAAGTAGATTAAAAACGAGTTATCTGAATGTTAAAATAAACCTCATTATCAGCAAAGAGCTGAGCTTCATTATCAAACTGAAGGGCACGTAATTAGAACCATGATATTGATGATGCTCACCCTGAGGGGAAAAAACCCTTACAATTACAGCATTAGATTATAAAAACTTCCTCTTTAATCAAGGCTTTTAACATGAACAGATTTCTTGAATAAAATGGAAAGTTTCCAGTACACTGAAACATAAATCCACAAGTCACCATACATACAACACCCGGCAGGAAAAAAACAAAAACAGCAAGTTTACATGATCTCTGTTAACAGCCATGGTCTCAAACTCAGATGCTTCCTCCATCTGCCAAGTGTGTTCTGGATACAAAGCACATCGTGGCTTCTGGGGTCACACTCAGCTGAGGCTGTGGGTCCACAGAGCACTCATCTGGCTAGGCTATGGTGGTGGTGGCTCTACTCAAGAAGCAAAGCAGTTACCAGCACATTCAAACAGTGTATTGAACATCTTTTAAATATCAAAGTGAGAAACAAGAAGGCAACATAATAATATTATCAGAAAGATGTTAGGAAGTAAGGACAGCTGTGTAAAGCTTGAGGCTGAAAAGTAGCTTGCCAGCTTCATTTCTTTGGCTTCTTGGGTAGTGGGCGCCGGAACAGCAAGATGTGAGGTTCTGAAAGAGTGAGGGAAATCTAAGAGACAAGCGCACACCATTCTATGTACAACCTATAGTGTATTCCACTACCATCTCCCCAGCTATCACCCACTCAGATCTTTATAACTAAATAAAGACTTAAGCATATGGCCTTGAGAAGCAGACCCAGAAGTCTGGACTGTCTGCCAAGTACAGAATTGTTAATATCAGTTCTTTTGCTATGTTTATACAGCCCCAGGGTGTCCTTTATTAAGTTTTGCCTGGCAGCTGGGTGTCTGGTGTCTTATCAATAAATATACTTTCCTTTGCTTATTTGGAATACATCCAAGAATGTTTTCTGATGGAGAATGAGGCAGGGACTATGACCAGGCTATATGTGGCCTTAAAAAGAATACCCTCTGATTGAATGGAAGATTACAGGAGGTTTTTTAGTGACAGGTTGTCTCTGAACTTCCCAGATATTTTAATCTTATTTTTGGTCACTAGTTTTTTGTTTTTGTTTTTAAATCCCCCATGACTAGAGGGGGAAGAAACCAGTAAACTATTTCCTATCTCCCTATTTGGGTTATACAATCTTATTCCTTCATTCTCTCAGTGTAGCAGTTCTATATGGTTGTTTTTAGCCAGTGCACTGACCTGGTTCATGGATCATATAATGGACCCATCCCTGACTCTGCTGAACGCCAAGATTCCTCCATTCAGATTCAGACATCAAATGAGTTTTAGGGACCAGCTTGGCTATGTCCTTGGGCAGCATGACATGTCTGTAACAGAAACGGAGAAGTGAGGAATTTATGTTAGTACCAGATATAGTCTCAGACAACTGCCTGTTTACAAGGCCAAGAAAGGAAAGAAAAACTAGTTTCTGATGTCAGAGTTTATATAATTTTATTGTGGGGTAGCAGCAGCTAGAAATACAGGCTATGTTATATAAATTCCGAGAGCATATGAAAAATACAAATTAGTGAATAATTCCAGTGAATAAGCACTTAAGTTCCAGGCACATTTTCTCTCCCTTCATGGACCTTATAGTCTTCTAGTTGATTGCCTACAATATAATGGGAGCCCCACGGAGCACACAGTGTTAATAATTAGAAGGAAGGAAGAGAAGTTATTCTGTGGAGAGGAAACGCCTTTTATGGAGTACTGTGTGGACAAGTGATCACAAAGGATGAAATGAAATATCTTATCCTTTAAAATCTAAGCCAGGCATGGTGGCACATACCTATAGTCCCAGCTACTCGGGAGGCTGAGGCAGGAGAGTAATTTGAACCCAGGAGTTTGACAAAGATACAGTATGAAGTTTGAAATCTTTGATTAAAATACAGAATAGGCCAGGGGCAGTGGCTCATGCCTGTAATCCCAGCATTTTGGGAGGCTGAGGTGGGTGGATCACTTGAGGTCAGGAGTTTGAGACCAGCCTGACCAACAACGTGAAACCCCATCTCTACTAAAAATACAAAAAAAGAGCCGGGTGTGGTGGCATGCACCTGTAACCCCAGCTATTTGGGAGACTGAGGCAGGAGAGAATCCCTTGAGTCCAGGAGGTGGAGGTTGTAGTGAGCTGAGATCTGGGCAATGATTCCGTCTCAAAAAAAAGAGAAAAAAAAAAAAAAAAGACAAAAGGGCTGCAGTGCACAATGGTTGTGCCTGTGAATAGCCACTGTACTCCAGTCTGGGCAATAAAGCAAGACCTTGTCTCTTCAAAAAAAAAAAAAAAAAAAAATCTATCCTGAATCTTATCTTCCTAACTCTGGAGGGATGTACCTTGAGACTTTTTTTGGGAAATTCCGTGCTTTTCTAACCAAGGATAAGTCTCCCTTCATGGCAAAGAAATTATTACCCTGATGTGACTCAAACTAATCCAGATAGTCTTCATCATGCTCAGTGAAAATGTACTAAGTTCTCTCTCTGTGCTAGTAACAGTGGTTTCCCCCCCATTCTCCTAAAAGAAAAAATTCTAGTCCAAATATATGAAAACAGCTCACATCCTAACACCACCCTGGCACAAAATTTGGCTTCAATACATAGACCAAAAAACCCCTCTTAAACCAAAATGCCATTGCCAAGTTAAAAGTTTCATCTTCTAGGGGATGAAATGGTGATTCCTTCCCAGCTCTGCAAATCTCTTATAAGCACATACAGTTTTAAGTTAGTTTAGTTCAGATGTAGAGGAAAACAGCTGAGGAAAAGACAGTTAATTATATCAAAGAGGATCTGGAGTCGTCTTGGTATAAAGATGATTATATATGTGTCAATGCACATCGAGTTCTCTGAAGACCTAAAGCCCTGAACTAGGCTGGGTGAAGAGACAAGAAAAGCAAGTTTTCATTTTATGTTCTCCATCTGAGGAGACAAGATAACAAACCAGGAAGTGGTCTTAATTATCACAATGTAGATTAGCATAATGCCAACATTTTGGAGTCCTGTGTCTTCCCTTATTCCCAATCTAGATTATGCACTTGAAATTTATCAAACCCGGCCGGGCACGGTGGCTCAAGCCTGTAATCTCAGCACTTTGGGAGGCCGAGGCGGGCGGATCACGAGGTCAGGAGATCGAGACCATCCTGGCTAACACGGTGAAACCCCGTCTCTACTAAAAAATACAAAAAAACTAGCCGGGCGAGGTGGCGGGCGCCTGTAATCCCAGCTGCTCGGGAGGCTGAGGCAGGAGAATGGCGTAAACCCGGGAGGCGGAGCTTGCAGTGAGCTGAGATCCGGCCACTGCACTCCAGCCTGGAAAAAAAAAAAAAAAAAAAAAAAAAAAAAAAAAAAGAAATTTATCAAACCCAAATGCTGTATCCAGTGCCAGGATTCCATCATCCCCACCCTTGGCAGATGGCTATCCAGTGTCTTCTAAACAATTTCAGTCAAGAGGTGCTTTCTCCCACATACCTTTTTCTTAGAGTCTCATCTCAGGCTCTGTCCTCTAGGAAGCTTTCCCCAACTTTCCCTCTTCCTTTTTTTTTCCTCTCAGTATTTTAAGTTTCATATTCAAGGGTACACGTGCAGGTTTGTTATATAGGTAAACTCCTGACTCGGGGGTTTGGTATACAGATTCTTTTATGACCCAGGTACTAAGCATAGTACCCGACAGTTTTTTTTTCCTGAACCTCTCCCTCCTCCCACCCTTCTCCCTCAAGTAGGCCCCAACGTCTATTGTTCCCCTCTTTCTGTCCCAGTGTTCTCATCTCCGACATATAAATGAAAACACGCGTATTTAGTTTACTACTGGTTTCGTTTTCAATGGTGGTGAAAGAGTCATCACACTGAATTGGCCTTGAGGACACTCTCCCGCCCCCACACCAAGCCCAGGGAAGAAGACCGACCGAAAGTAAGAAGTCAGCCTCTAAGGCGGTGGCGGCGGGGGTTCTCGAAGGGTGGGGTGGGGGTGGGGTCCTGGAGTTAGCAAAAGTAGGGGACTGACTTTCTAGCCCCACCCCAACACCCGCGCACAGCTAGGAAGCCGCAGCCTTCGGGTCGCCAGTTCCCTCTCCTTATCAAGTCTCGTGTGCTCCCATCACACCCTGTAATGGCTCCTAGCAAAGGGTGTTATCACCTTTCTGGTGTCCGTCGGTACCACTCACAGTTTTAAGTTTGTGAACAGCAGAGACCATGTGTTATCCTTGCACTTTAGCAGAACACCTGAAACCTGTTAAGTATTCCGTAACCGTTTCCTTTGATAAAGGGCATCTATTAGACCCATATTAAGTATTTTCTCAATGCTCCTAGCCAGTTTTATTCCATTTCAGTCCCAAGCGGTCCCTTTCCTAACACAAGCCAGACAACCATGCCCCTTGTCTTTTTCACGAGTTAATCAGCAATATTCAACTCTCTCAGCGCTACTCTCGCATTAGGGACACGAGGAAACTCCAAGCTCCGCTTTTGCTACGTTCTCCCACTGGATTCCACAGGATTACTGTAAAACTAACAGTTTCTACAAGGCAAGTTAAGTTTGCCCAATAAAGTTCAGAGAATGATCCAGAAACCCTCATGGGTGTGGGTGGTCAGTACTCTAACCACGCCCACCACTCCCTCCTCTCAACTGAGGGCAGACTCCAAATTCGCAACCACTTTGTTTTATGAGAGGCTCCCACCTCCGCGCATGCGCCTTACGCCTTCCACCAATATCACACCCTTGCCCGTTCACATATCGTACGCATGCGCCAATTCTATCGCCTCAGTTCCTGTTACTAATTGCTTATTTCCTCAGCGGTCAAAGCTCACGACCTCGCTGTTGCCCCCGCGCCAGCACTAACCGATACTCAAACTCCTCGTCGTCGTATTTGTCCGAATAGTAAATCTGTTTGTGCGACATGATCGCTCGGTTTGCTAGCCTTCAGCCCCGCGCCGCCAACCTCCAAGCAACTCCCAGCAGCACGCACTCCCACCCACTTTGGCCTCGCTTTCAAACACGCCGCCCGCACTTCCTATTGGTCCGTTTGGCTCAAGGCGGGACAGCTGTACTTTCAAGCCTCCGATTGGCTTAGATTTACTTCTCTTGGGTCCTTATTGGAGGGCAGTTCTTACGTTTCTCAAGAACGAGCGTGGGTCAAAAGTAGGCGTCTTATTGGCCACCACTGCCTCTGTGCGCGATTTCGCGCTGCCATTGGCTAACTCGGGAAAGTGGGAAGCGTGAAGGAGGGACCCTGAGGTAGAGGGTCAGGGGTTAGTGAGGCCGGAAGTGAGTGTAATAAAGTTTCTCCAGGGAGGCAGGGCCCGGGGAGAAAGTTGGAGCGGTAACCTAAGCTGGCAGTGGCGTGATCCGGAACCAAATCGGCCCGCGGTGCGGTGCGGAGACTCCATGAGGCCCTGGTGAGTCTTGACTTTTTTCTCCGTAGGTGACTCACTCTTCCACTCCGGAACCCCTCTCCCGGGACCCCACTTCCGGTCTTCATTTATAAGTCCCGCCCCTGAGACCCCTCTCCCCGGAAGTCCCACCTCCCAACCTCTGGGGGCTCCCCCGAACCCCGACTTGATTTTTATTTTTTGTCTCCGACCCCACCCTGTCGCCCAGTTTTCCTGGAAGTCCCACCCCCAGACACGTTCCAAGCCCTACTACGTGAAACCCTTGGTTACTCCTTCCATTCTCCGAAACTCCGCCTCCTAGCAACGATCCTCTGCTAACTCCTGTCAAAAAGCCTATCTCCCAAAAGGGCAAAACCCTGCTCCTCAAAGAACGATTCGAATTTGTTGGAGCCACGCCTCTTCGGGGCTCCGCCCCTCCGAAGCCACGCCCTGTTCGTAATCCGTGTCTGACTGTCCAGAAAGCCTCCCCGCATAGAAGTCTGAAGTTCGCGTCCTGGCGGACCACGCCCCCTTGCGAACTTTGTGGGACCTGGGTCATCAGCTGTAAAGCCTTGTCGTCAATCCCTGAAACTCCACCTGCTTATATTTTCCTGTCCTTTGTCTTTTTTGGGGCTTTGGGATCAGTTTTCCGAGCACTCTCGTGCTCCCCCAGGTGGGAAGTCAAAGTTCCTATCTCTGACTGTGAAGAGTGAGATTAAAGGCAGCCGTTTTCCTTTCTTTCTTTTCTTTCTTTTTGTTTTTTTTGAGACAGAGTTTCGCTCTTGTTGCCCAGGCTAGAGTGCAATGGTGCGATCTCGACTCACCGCAACCTCCGCCTCCTGGGTTCAAGTGATTCTCCTGCCTCAGCCTCCCGAGTAGCTGGGATTATAGGCGCCCGCCACCACGCCCGGCTAATTTTTGTATTTTTAGTAGAGAGGGGGTTTCACCATGTTGACTAGGCTAGCCTCGAACTCCTGACCTCAGATGATCCACCCGTCTCAGCCTCCTTAAGTGCTGGGATTACAGGCGTGAGCCACCGCGCCCGGCCCCATTTTCCTCTTTCTTAACCTCCTCCAAGGGTAGAACTATTTGAAGGGGCTGAACTTAGGGTTTGGCACCAGAGGGAGAGAGACTTGCTGTCAGACTCCCAGCCTCATCTCCTGACCTTCCCTTCCCAGGACCAACTCCATCCCAGAAGTAGCTCTAGGCCTGCCTATCCATAAGTGGATAGGACCATGGATTTGTTGGTGTGTGGCATGTGGGTGTGACAGGAGCAAGTTTTCTACCAGAAAAACGGTGGTTTGGAGTGGGGGTAGATAATAGTGCCCTTTTTGTTGTTTGATTTTTTTCTTTTTTTTTTAAGGGACAGTTCAGTTGCTGCTTCTCTGTCTCTTCCCCTCCCCCTAACCATAGTTCTTGTCTGGGCATTCCTCCTGGCCCCGTTTGCCCAGCCTTCCCTGCTGGAAACATTCCTGAGGCTTTCGCCATTTCCTGCCACTTCCCACCCCTCTCCCCTCCTCCCAGTTGGGCTGAGAAGCCACATACAGCTTTTTACCTACACCCAATCACCTTGACTTCCAGTAGGCAATCTCTTTTCTCCCCATGCACATTTCAACAGTCATACTTCTTTCTTTTCTTCCAAACGCTCACACCCGTTGGTCTTTCCCTGGCCCTGGATACTGCAGGCTCCCACAGAACATCATCTCAACAGATGAGGACATCCTAGTGTGTGAGGCTATAGTGGAATCCTTTCCTCATTCTCTCTATGCCCGAGAGCTGGCTGGAAAAGAAGTGATAAAATTCCTTCTCAGGATTGGCTGACAGAGTGACAAGGCTCTTCTGGAATGAGCACTAAGGGGAGATTTAAGAGTTAAGCACAGTATCTAACACACTTTAAGTGTTAATGTTGTTAATCAGGATAATTATCTATCTATATTTTAATCCTCTGAAGTAAATCTAAGGGTAATTCCAAGGTGAGCTTGGGTGAATACGTATTTTTTTTTTTTTTTTGAGGCAGAGTTTTGCTCTTGTCAGCCAGGCTGGAGTGCAATGGCACGATCTCAGCTCACTGCAACCTCCACCTCCTGGGTTCAAGCGATTCTCCTGCCTCAGCCTCCCGAGCTGGGATTACAGGTGCTCACCACCACGCCCAGCTAATTTTTGTAGTTTTAGTGGAGACGGGGTTTCACCATGTTGACCAGGCTGGTGTCAATCTTCTGACTTCAGGTGATCCACCCGCCTCGGCCTCCCAAAGTGCTGGGATTACAGGTGTGAGCCACCGTACCCGGCGGGAATATGTATCTTTAACTTGTTTTTTGTTTTTTGGTCGCTTTCCAGCTTTGCCTATGGCATTCTCCAGAAGAGCAGTGGCAGGAAGCCGTGGGTGGCAGGAATGAGTTTGGGACTGTTCCCTGTGTCCAGCTTCAACCCATCTTCTCCTGACACCCCTTTCTCCTGTGCTTACTTGTTTTTTCTCCTGTTCTTATTGATACAGATGTGTCTTCTGATCTCTCTGTCCCTTCCTGGCCTGTTGTTTCTGCTTCTCTTGGAGAACTGTTTCTTCCACCTCCTCCAGCCAGGCTCCTCCCCTGGTGTGAGGGACACTGTGCTGTTTGGTGGGGCTTAGGGCCCTGTAAGAGGAGGGATATGAATTGGGGTGGTTTGGAGTGGGAGTGGGGACCTGATTGCCTCATTCTCACCCTTGACAGTGTGCTGTGTTAACAAGGCCTGTGGAAAGGGGAGAGGACAGTGCTTGGCTATGAGCCATGGGTCTTGGTGTGATAGATGGCATACATAGAGAACAAGCCGTGACCAGCATGTCCTCTTGTTCCCCTCTTGCCTGGTAGCTTCCTGATGTACCATCCAGGTTGGACTTTATTCCCCTTTTTTCACCAACTTTGCTTCTCCTCTTGACCCTGCTCTGCTTCCATTGGGGCCACTTCCTTCCCATCCCCACTTCGCTAGCTCCAGTCCACAGCTGTCGTAGCAGAGGATGCTAATGGCCCAGGCTTACTGTATGGGGTAGTGGTTGGGGGTGGCCTGGGCCGGAGGGTGGGGAATTCGAGTGTCCAACCAGAACAGGAAGGGAAATGCTGAGCTCTGAGATCTCCTCCCTTTTCCACCCGCAGCTGCCTCTGTTTCCTCCCTCATTCCCCTCTACTCTAGCCTGGCTTCCTGCCCCCTTTGGCCTGCCTGTGTCGGGTTTCGAGTGACCCAGACCTCCTATCTCCTTTCTTTCCGTCCAACTCCTCCATGCTTCCCTCCCACCCCCACTTTCCTTCTCCCCAGATTACTAGTTGTTTGTGTAGGGCAGGGGAGAGGAGCTTGGATAGCCCTACCCCCTGCTCCAGTCCGAGGTTGGGGCGGGGTGGGGGCTCAGCCCCTCTGAGCCTGTGAGTCAGCACTGTCCTCGTGATTGGTCTCTCCCTTTAGCTCTCCGCCCCTGGGGAGGAGCCAGGCAGCTCTGGGTCCAGCCTGTTCTCTTCTCAGCCAGAGAAGAGGCTCCACGTTGGGCGGGGATGGGGCCCGAAACTGTCTGGGTCTGAGCTGGGGAGCGGAAGCCACTTGTCCCTCTCCCTCCCCAGGACTTCTGTGACTCCTGGGCCACAGAGGTCCGACCAGGCTAAGGGCCTGGGGATACCCCCTGCCTGGCCCCCTTGCCCAAACTGGCAGGGGGGCCAGGCCGGGCAGCAGCCCCTCTCTCACCTCAGCTATGGATCTCCTGCCCCCCAAGCCCAAGTACAATCCACTCCGGAATGAGTCTCTGTCATCGCTGGAGGAGGGGGCTTCAGGGTCCACCCCCCCGGAGGAGCTGCCTTCCCCATCAGCTTCATCCCTGGGGCCCATCCTGCCTCCTCTGCCTGGGGACGATAGTCCCACTACTCTGTGCTCCTTCTTCCCCCGGATGAGCAACCTGAGGCTGGCCAACCCGGCTGGGGGGCGCCCAGGGTCTAAGGGGGAGCCAGGAAGGGCAGCCGATGATGGGGAGGGGATCGTAGGGGCAGCCATGCCAGACTCAGGCCCCCTACCCCTCCTCCAGGACATGAACAAGCTGAGTGGAGGCGGCGGGCGCAGGACTCGGGTGGAAGGGGGCCAGCTGGGGGGCGAGGAGTGGACCCGCCACGGGAGCTTTGTCAATAAGCCCACGCGGGGCTGGCTGCATCCCAACGACAAAGTCATGGGACCCGGGGTTTCCTACTTGGTTCGGGTGAGTGAACATCCTCCTTTCCATTGCCTCCCAGACCCCTCCAGTTCTTCTGCTCACTCCAGCTTGGCTGGAATTCTTTTTTCCTGCTGTTCCCCAACAACCCTGTTTCAGTGTTCTATTTCCTAAACCTTTCCCATCCCTTCCCCAATTCTGTAGCCCTTTCCCTTCCAGCTCTGCCTGGGCCCCCTTCCTTCTTTTGACTCCCCTACCCCCACCCTGCCATGCTTAGCACAATGCCCAGCATGGCAGAAGCTCTTAATAAGTGCTGGAAGGAGTGACTTCTTGATCCTTTCCTCCATTCTCCTCCCGCTTTCTGGAGTTGTTGCTCCATCCCAGTCAGTGCCTGTCAGTCCCCTCCAAACTCTCTCCCCAGTGCGTGAGGTCCTTCTAGCCTGCCTTTTCTTTCTCTGCTCGTTCCCTGTTGTCTTTCACCTTGGTTGTGGGATGTAGACACGGGAAGAGGGCAGAACTTCTTCCTCTTTACTTCTCTTAGGGACCATATGGGCAAAGTCCTAGGGCCCTTTGTGAAGGGACTGGGGTCAGGGAGCGGCTGACCTGCTGTCCTCTCCTCCCTCCCCTTAGTACATGGGCTGTGTGGAGGTCCTTCAGTCAATGCGTGCCCTGGACTTCAACACCCGGACTCAGGTTACCAGGTTAGTGGGGAGGGAGTGGACTGTGGGAGTCCTGGGATTAGTGAGGCCATGGGAAAGGGCGGAGGGGAGTGGGTCACTTGGGTGCTGCTGGTTGGGGCTGATCTTTGGGTAGTAAAGGGGATTGAGAGAAAGCTGGGATAGTGATTCTGCCTCTTACTGAAAGGAGGCCCCTCTGGCCCGGATCCTCCTTACCTGTCCAGCCTTGGGAGTTGTGGGGAAGGTAGCAGAAGCAGCTGGCAGGTGGAGCTGGAATAGCAAATGGGGGTAGATGGAAGGTTGCTGCTGCCTTTGGGAAGGGAATGGGACATTTGGTAGCTGGAAGGGGGTGGGGCTATACCCATTGAGGCCCTAACCCAATCAGCCAGGAAGCGGCCTCTCAGTGTCATCAAATATTAAAGGCCCTTAATTCAATCCACCACGACAAAGAGCCTGGAGTGCCCTGGGAGTCTGGCCTGGCTTTCCCCTCCCCCAGCTCTGTGGCAGCCCCAGTTGAGTGGGAGGCAGGCAGGCAGGCGCTGGGTCTGAGTACCCCTCTTTCCCCAGGGAGGCCATCAGTCTGGTGTGTGAGGCTGTGCCGGGTGCTAAGGGGGCGACAAGGAGGAGAAAGGTACTTGGGGTCCTTGGGGATAGGGATGCTGCTGGGAAATGTGGAGGGACAGTGAGGAGGCAAGTGTGGGGCATGTGGGGAGAGGGCCAGGAGACAAGAGTATGGTTTGTCTGTGCTGGGAACCCTCACCTTCTAAGACCCTGGGCCCTACCTTAGCCCTGTAGCCGCCCGCTCAGCTCTATCCTGGGGAGGAGTAACCTGAAATTTGCTGGAATGCCAATCACTCTCACCGTCTCCACCAGCAGCCTCAACCTCATGGCCGCAGACTGCAAACAGGTTGGTGGAGGTGGGCAGGTGGACCAGAAACACCGATGGGGGTGCTAAGGGGAGATCTAGTTAGGAGGCCAAAAACTAGGAAGAGGGCTTGAGAGCAGAAGACCAGTAGGGAAGGAGGAAATGAGGATATGGGATAAGGAACCCAGAGAATGAGACTGGGGCACCAGGGTTCTGGGCCCTGAGGCTGCCTGACACATGGCATTCCCTTCCTTCTCCATCCCCTCCCCTAATTCTCAGATCATCGCCAACCACCACATGCAATCTATCTCATTTGCATCCGGCGGGGATCCGGTGAGTTGGGGAACAGAGCAAAGGTGGTGGGAGAAGAGCAAGGGGCTAGTGATTGGGAAGACATTGATTAGAGAAGTGGGGGTGCTAGGACTGTGGGGATATCTGAAAAGGACTGGGTTTTAGGGGTCAGGAGTAAAGTGGAACTGTAAAATTTTCTGACCTTCCTCCCCAGGACACAGCCGAGTATGTCGCCTACGTTGCCAAAGACCCTGTGAATCAGAGAGGTGAGGCATGGTGGGGAGCACTGGGTGGGTCTGGCTGTTTGAGGAGGTGAGTAGGACCTGGGGTCATCTGTACCCACTCTAAGTAGATCTAAGTGGGGGTTCCTGCCGAGGAAGATGAGGGCCCCTGTCTGTGCCTCCTCCCAGTGGGCTCAACTCACTGACAGCCTCTGCTGTGCCCTCAGCCTGCCACATTCTGGAGTGTCCCGAAGGGCTTGCCCAGGATGTCATCAGCACCATTGGCCAGGCCTTTGAGTTGCGCTTCAAACAATACCTCAGGAACCCACCCAAACTGGTCACCCCTCATGACAGGTGAGCAAGTGGGGAGAGTGTGGAGCAGCTTTTGAGACCAAGATTGGGAAAGGAGGGCTGTTCTTCCCACACTTGAGCTGAGAGGTTCAGGGAGGGAATAACCTGTGTGCCTCTGCTTCCCACTTCCTGCTATTCTTCTGTTTCCTGTGGCCCAGGAGGAAAGGCTTTTGAGGCCCTGCTTGCCGCAGGGCCAGCTTTTCTTGTTTGCTCATGGTGGAGCTGTAGTCCGGGGCCTCCAAGTTACATCTCTCTCTGGCTAGGTGGGATTTTCTATTCCCATTCCTCTTTCTTGCTCATTTCTCTGCTTGGCATTCTGTGTTTTCCTGCCTCTAGAAGCCATCAAGACTTTGGGTTTGGGAGGATATCTCTTTTCCCTGAGATTACAGTCTTTCCCACCTCAGGCCTTGAGGGATAAGCAGTGGAGCCAGTAGGGATTGAATATTTAGGAGAGGTAAAAATATTCTGGAGCTGGAGCACCTCCCTGCTGCCACACACACACACACACACACACACACAGACACACTACATGGTGCTTCCCTTCCTTGTTGGGAGAGAGCACAGAGATCAAGAGCAAAAGCATTACTTACTTATTTTGAGACAGAGCCTTGCTCTGTAGCCCAGGCTGGAGTTCAGTGGTGCAATCACAGCTCAATGTAGCCTTCATACCCTGGGCTTGAGTGATCCTCCCACCTTAGCCTCCTGAGTAGATGGGACCACAGGTGCATGCCACCACACGTGGCTGAGTAGTAGTATTTTTATTTTGGTAGAGATAAGGTCTTGCTATGTTGCCTTGGCTGGTCTTGAACTCCTAGGCTCAAACAGCCCTCCCTCCTTGGCCTCTGAAAGTGTTGGGATTATAGGCGTGAGCCATTGCACCTGGCCAAGGGGGATGAGCTTTAAAGTCAAACCTGAATTTAAATCTGAGTTTAGCCACCTTTTAGTTGTGAGACCTTGGGCAAATCTTTTCACCTCTGACCCTCATTTTCCTCATATGTAAAATTGGGGAAGGAAACAATACCTACCTTATGGGGTTGCCAGGAGAATGAAATGATTATGTATATAAAACACTCAGCCTCAGGCCTAATCCACAGTAAATACCCAATAGATGGCTGCTGTTCTATTCCCTCCTCCCCTCCTCCTGCCCACCACACATTTACAGCTACACCTTCACTGTCCTGTCCCTCAGGATGGCTGGCTTTGATGGCTCAGCATGGGATGAGGAGGAGGAAGAGCCACCTGACCATCAGTACTATAATGACTTCCCGGGGAAGGAACCCCCCCTGGGGGGGGTGGTAGACATGAGGCTTCGGGAAGGAGCTGCTCCAGGGGCTGCTCGATCCACTGCACCCAGTGCCCAGACCCCTAGCCACTTGGGAGCTACACTGGTAAGTTGCTTGGATGGAGGTGGGCTGGGCCTAGGGTGGGAGTGGTTGTTTAGGGCTTCTGGTCTCACCTTATTTTTATCCCTGCAGCCTGTAGGACAGCCTGTTGGGGGAGATCCAGAAGTCCGAAAACAGATGCCACCTCCACCACCCTGTCCAGGTATGAAGGGAGCTGAGATGGACAGAGCCAGGGAGTGTTGGAGGCAGGGCTGGGGATCACTGTAGAACCTCTCTTTCCTCAGCAGGCAGAGAGCTCTTTGACGATCCCTCCTACGTCAACGTCCAGAACCTAGACAAGGTCCGGCAAGCAGTGGGTGGTGCTGGGCTCCCCAATCCTGCTGTCAATGGCAGTGCACCCCGTGACCTGTTTGATATGAGTGAGTGCTTGTCTTTCCTCTGCATCTCCACCTTTCTACTTGGTTCTGGCCCTTCTCCTGCCTATCTGCTCTTTCCTTCCTGACTTCCCTTCCCTGAAGTCTGGGTCTTGGGTGTGTGTTGTGCCTGCTACTTTCCCTCACCCTCCGTCTACACTTCCAGAGCCCTTTGAAGATGCTCTTCGGGTGCCTCCACCTCCCCAGTCAGTGTCCATGGCTGAGCAGCTCCGAGGGGAGCCCTGGTTCCATGGGAAGCTGAGTCGGCGGGAGGCTGAGGCACTGCTGCAGCTCAACGGGGACTTCCTGGTGCGGGAGAGCACGACCACACCTGGCCAGTATGTGCTCACTGGCTTGCAGAGTGGGCAGCCCAAGCATCTGCTACTGGTGGACCCTGAGGGTGTGGTGAGTGTGGCAGAGGTGTGGGTGAGGGGTGGCAGAAAGGAAGGTACAGTACCCTACAGTGTATCCCTGTTCCTTCCCTCATTGCTTTCTAGACATTCCCGCTGGGCAGCTCTCTGTGGGCCTCTCTTGCTCTTCAGGGTGTCTGGCATCTTCCTCCAGGGGCTCATCCCTTAGCCTGAACTGTGTTCTTTATAGTCCTGGCACTATAGGGCTGGGCGTGGTGGCCCACACCTGTAATCCCAGCACTTTGGGAAGCTGAGGCAGGTGAATCACCTGAGGTCAGGAGTTTGAGACCAGCCTGACCAATATGGTGAAAACCCATCTCTACTAAAAATACAAAAATAAGCTGGGTGTGGTGGTGGGCACCTGTAGTCCCAACTACTCAGGAGGTTGAGGCAGGAGAATTGCTTGAACCCAGGAGGCAGAGGTTGCAATGAGGTGAGATCGCACCACTGCACTCCAGCCTGGGTGACAGAGTGAGATTGTCTAAAAAAACAAAACAAAACAAATACAGTCCTGGCCCGTCCTCAAATCCCCAAGCCTTATCAGAGCTAGAAGGCAGTCATCGCATCTGTGCCCATTTTTACAAATAAGGAAACCACCCCGAAGAGGTTGTGATGCCCAATGTCACATGGTTAAAGGCTAGACACTGCAAGTTTCCTTTCGTAAGAAGATCCAAGGGCTTCTCCAGCTCCTCAGACTCAGGAGTCAGACCACTGTGCTTTCTCTTATCTGCACTGCCTCACTGTTCTTCAAAACTTTCCTTGTTTAGCCAGGTGTGGTGGCTCATGCCTGTAATCCCAAGATTTTGGGAAGCTGAGGTGGGAGGATTGCTTGAGGCCAGGAGTTCTAGACCAGCCTAGGCAACATAGCAAGACCTTGTCTCTAGAAAAATAAAAAAACAAAAAATTAGTCAGGAATGGTGACACATGCCTGTAGTCCCACCTACCCAGGAGGCTGAGGCCTGATGATTGCTTGAGCCCAGGAGTTTGAGGTTACAGTGAGCCATGACTGCGCCATTGCACTCTAGCCTGGGTGACAGAGACCCTGTCTAGAAACAAACAAACTTTTGTCTGTTTTCTACAGCAATCTCAGCCTCCTTTCCTCTTTTTCTTTTTTTTTTGAGATAGGGTTTTGCTTCGTCACCCAGGCTGGGGTGTGGTGGCACACCCGGCTAATTTTTGTATTTTTGTTGTTGTTGTTGTTGTTGAGATGGGGTTTCGCCATGTTGCCCAAGCTGTTCTTGAACTCCTGGGCTCAAGTGATCCGCTTCCCTTAGCCTCCCAGAGTGCTGGGATTGCAGGCATGAGCCACCATGCCCAGCCTCCACATCTTTTTTTGCACTGTGTATACTCTTCTGAGACATGCCAACTTTCTCCACGTCAAGAAAAGGGTATATAGCTCTCAGCTTCACTCTTTCAGGGCTGATGTCACCTTTGCCTTTTCCCACTTCACTGACCTGTCTATTCCTGCAACTGTCTGTTTCTAGAGAAACCTCAATGATCAGGACTGATAGGCCACACTCTCCCCTACCATTTTTTTCTCCTTCTTCAAGCCTCTTGTCTGTTTTACCCTCTTCCACCTTGGAGGCTGAGGTCTTATTTGACTCTTCACCTGAATTGACCTTCTTCCTTCCCACCCTCCCAGGTTCGGACTAAGGATCACCGCTTTGAGAGTGTCAGTCACCTCATCAGCTACCATATGGACAATCACTTGCCCATCATCTCTGCGGGCAGCGAACTGTGTCTACAGCAACCTGTGGAGCGGAAACTGTGATCTGCCCCAGAGCTCTCTTCCAGAAGATGCCCTCCAATCCCTTCCACCCTATTCCCTAACTCTTGGGACCTCATTTGGGAGTGTTCTGTGGGCTTGGCCTTGTGTCAGAGCTGGGAGTAGTGTGGACTCTGGGTTTCATATCCAGCTGAGTGAGGGTTTGAGGGTTTGAGTCAGAAGCCTGGGGGAGAATCCTGCCTCTCCCCAAACATTGATCACCAAAGTATTAATGTACAGAGTGGCCCTTCACCTGGGCCTTTCCTGTGCCAACCTGATGCCCCTTCCCCAAGAAAGTGAGTGTTTGTCATGGAAAATGTCCTGTGGTGACAGGCCCAGTGGAACAGTCACCCTTTTGGGCAAGGGGGAACAAATCACACTTCTGGGCTTCAGGGTATCCCAGACCCTTCTCAACACCCCCACCCCACCATGTTTAAACTTTGTGCCTTTGACCATCTCTTAGGTCTGATGATATTTTATGCAGAGTTCTTGGGCCCCTGAGTTCAATGACAGGGATGCCAACACCTTCTTGGCTTCTGGGACCTGTCTTCTTGCTCAGCACTCTTTCCGGTTTGGGTTGGGATAATAGAGGCAGGAGTGGCAGCTGCCCCCTCTCCCTGGGGATATGCAACCCTTAGAGATTGCCCCAGAGCCCCCCTCCCGGCCAGGGGGGAGATGGATCCCTCCCTTGCTCAGTGCCTCCTGGCCGGGGCCCCTCACCCCAAGGGGTCTGTATATACATTTCATAAGGCCTGCCCTCCCATGTTGCATGCCTATTGTACTCTACAGCCAAAGTGTAGCCCTCCCTGGAGCCTCTGCCCTGCCTCCCTTTCTGGCAGGGTGGGGTAGGGGTGACTGAATTTGGGCCTCTTGTACAGTTCACTCTCCCAGGTGGATTTTGTGGAGGTGGGAAAAAGGGCATTGAGACTCTAAAGCAGTAGACAATCCCCAAAAATACCATCTGTAGAGTTGGAACTGCATTCTTTTAAAGTTTTATATGCATATATTTTAGGGCTGTAGACTTACTTTCCTATTTTGTTTTCCATGGCTTATTCTCGAGCACAAAATGGTAATCAATTATTACATTTATACATCACCTTTTTGACTTTTCCAAGCCCTTTTACAGCTGTTGGCATTTTCCTCGCCCAGGCCTGTGAGGTAACTGGGATCGCACCTTTTATACCAGACCTGAGGCAGATGAAATTTATTTCCATCTAGGACTAGAAAAACTTGGGTCTCTTACCGCGAGACTGAGAGGCAGAAGTCAGCTCGAATGCCTGTCAGTTTCATGGAGGGGAAACGCAAAACCTGCAGTTCCTGAGTACCTTCTACAGGCCCGGCCCAGCCTAGGCCCCCCTTTTGGCCTTGTGGATAAGGGACAGTTGACCGTTTTCATCCTGGACTCCTTTTGCTGTTGTTTGGATGTTTCCACGGGTCTCACTTATACCAAAGGGAAAACTCTTCATTAAAGTCCGTATTTCTTCTACCTCTGCCTCTTAATCCTGGGAAGCCTATTGTGTACGCCGCGGGCCCTTAGCGGGGAGGCGGGAGGTCGCGGCCGCCGAGGGAAGCTGGGGGTCTGCGGAGTTTGGGCGCGGCAGAGTGGGGCGTGTCGCGCCACCGTCCCCATGAAGATGTGTCCCGGGGGCGGGGGCTGGCTCCGGGTGCGTCCAGGCAAGAGCCGGGACTCCCCGGCGCCGCAACGCCGGCCCCCGGGACTACCTTGGACCTCCCGGGCGCGCCCTCGGCTCGCGCGCGCCCCTCCGCGGTGGCTCCACCGCCCGGGATGGTACGGTCCGGCAGCAGGGCCGCGCGCCGCCGCCCCTCGGTGAGCTGGTGTGGGCCGCCGCTAGCGGAAACGACCCTCTCCACTCGCGTGGTGCAGTGGTAAGCCTCGCCCCTCGCCTGCCGCCTGTTTTCTGGCGTGGAGTCTCGTCCGGTCCTTGCTCCCCCTCCCCGCCGCGCTTAGTGGTGGTGGCCGCGCCGAGTTCCGGTTCCGGTTGCTGCAGCCGCTGGCTGGCGGCGAGTCTGGAGAGAGCGCGCAGTTCGCGCCGCGGCTGGGCGCTTCCCTGTCGTCCCACTTTGTGGTTGCTGCAGCTTGGGGGCCTGTGCTGCCCCTGACTCCCCTTCTGGGCGATGGTGCAGCCCGAGGGCGCCTCCATCCCCCGCCGCCGCCGCTAACCCTGGTCCCCCACTCCATGGCCGCCTCGGCGCCGCCCCCACCGGACAAGCTGGAGGGAGGTGGCGGCCCCGCACCGCCCCCTGCGCCGCCCAGCACCGGGAGGAAGCAGGGCAAGGCCGGTGAGAGCGCTGCGAGGAGCGGGGGCTGAAGAAGCCTAGGACTTGGGAACCTCAGAGGGGAGGGATGGTGGGAGGGGGGCGTTTCACAGACTGAAGGGCTTGAAGGGAGGCTCAGGTGAAAAGGATGGGTGGGTGTAATCCTCCAGGAGTTGGGGGCAGGTGTCACACATTGAGGACGCTAGAGTTTGGAGCCACATGGAATTCAGTAGTCACTTGGAGCTTGAGGATATCGAAAGATGGGATATCTCTCATTTAAAGGAAGACATAGCTGAGAGTATGATCATCTTCACGATCTATTTTTCATATTGCACCCCTTGTTAGCATTTGTTGAATAAATAAGCAAGTATGTATTGACGTTAAAGGAGTTCCTCAGAGCATGGCTGAGAGAAAAGAGGTTGGGGAAACCTCAGGGAAACTTGTCTGCGTCTTCCTTTTGCCGCTCTTCCAGGTCTGCAAATGAAGAGCCCAGAAAAGAAGCGAAGGAAGTCAAATACTCAGGTGAATGGTTGTTGGTGGTGGGGGTGGTTCCCGGCAGCCCCTTGGCGGCACACTGTCTACTCTGCCATTCCAGTATCTGTTTGTATCTTGCATCAGCTGCAGGGAGGAGAGAGAAAACTGGCTTTCTTGCTTTGTTTCTTGTTCTTTCCCTGAACCTTCTAACAAATTTAGGGGAAAGTATTCTCTCCTAAGAGATGATTCGACCAAAGTTCTTACCACGCAGGGTTCCAGTCTCCTCCATGTTTCCTGTCCTGGTTTCCTCATGATGATAACGTAACACCTTCCACTTACTGAGCCTTTTTTTAGTGCCAGGGATTGTGCTAACATGCTTTAACAGTTTGGGGGAGATAGGCATTATCCCTATTTTACGACGAGAAATCTGGGGGTTAAAAATGTTAAATACGTGCTCCACAGTCTTGAGGTTGTTTTTCACGGTCAGAGCTGGGATTCCATTCTAGTTCTGCCCGTTTTTAAAACACAGTTACTGCACTATGCTGGTTCCACTCTCCACCCTCTTTCTCTTTTTTTTTTTTTGTAGTAACAGAGTCTTGCTGTGTTGCCTAGGCTGGGCTCAAACTCCTGGGCTCAAGGGATCCTCCTGCCTCAGCTTCCCAAAGTGTTAGCATTACAGGTGTGAGCCACTGTGCCCGGCCTGTGGTCCATATATTTATTTTTTTATTTTTTTTGAGACGGAGTTTTGCTCTGTCGCCCAGGCTGGAGTGCAGTGGTGCGATCTCGGCTCACTGCAAGCTCTGCCTCCCAGGTTCACACCATTCTCCTGCCTCAGCCTCCCGAGTAGCTGGTACTACAGGCGCCCACCAACACACCTGGCTAATTTTTTTGTATTTTTGGTAGGGACGGGGTTTCACCGTGTTAACTAGGATGGTCTCAATCTCCTGACCTTGTGATCTGCCCGCCTTGACCTCCCAAAGTGCTGGGATTACAGGCGTCAGCCACTGTGCCTGGCCTGTGGTCCATATTGATTTTAGGCCTGAGCTGCCCAGTATCAGCCTCCAAAATGTGTATTGTGTTGGTAGTGCTCTCTTGGTTTAGTTCTGTGTTTCCCTCCATGACCCTCTTTCCCTCAACTGTTTTCTCACTAGGGCCCTGCATACTCACATCTGACGGAGTTTGCACCACCCCCGACTCCCATGGTGGATCACCTGGTTGCATCCAACCCTTTTGAAGATGACTTCGGAGCCCCCAAGGTGGGGGGTGCAGCCCCTCCATTCCTTGGCAGTCCTGTGCCCTTTGGAGGCTTCCGCGTGCAGGGGGGCATGGCGGGCCAGGTACCCCCAGGCTATGGCACTGGAGTTGGAGGGGGCCCCCAGCCACTTCGTCGACAGCCACCCCCTTTCCCTCCCAATCCTATGGGCCCTGCTTTCAACATGCCCCCCCAGGGCCCTGGCTACCCACCCCCAGGCAACATGAATTTTCCCAGCCAACCCTTCAACCAGCCTCTCGGTCAAAACTTTAGTCCTCCCAGCGGGCAGATGATGCCGGGCCCAGTTGGGGGATTTGGTCCCATGATCTCACCCACCATGGGACAGCCTCCCAGAGCAGAGTTGGGCCCACCTTCTCTGTCCCAACGATTTGCTCAGCCAGGGGCTCCTTTTGGCCCTTCTCTCCAGAGACCTGGTCAGGGGCTTCCCAGCCTGCCACCTAACACAAGTCCCTTTCCTGGTCCGGACCCTGGCTTTCCTGGCCCTGGTGGTGAGGATGGGGGGAAGCCCTTGAATCCACCCGCTCCTACTGCTTTTCCCCAGGAACCCCACTCAGGCTCCCCAGCTGCTGCTGTTAATGGGAACCAGCCCAGTTTCCCCCCAAACAGTAGTGGGCGGGGTGGGGGCACTCCAGATGCCAACAGCTTGGCACCCCCTGGCAAGGCAGGTGGGGGCTCTGGGCCCCAGCCTCCCCCAGGCTTGGTGTACCCATGTGGTGCCTGTCGGAGTGAGGTGAATGATGACCAGGATGCCATTCTGTGTGAGGCTTCCTGCCAGAAGTGGTTCCACCGTGAGTGCACAGGCATGACTGAGAGCGCCTATGGGCTACTGACCACTGAAGCTTCTGCCGTCTGGGCCTGCGATCTCTGCCTCAAGACCAAGGAGATCCAGTCTGTCTACATCCGCGAGGGCATGGGGCAGCTGGTGGCTGCTAACGATGGGTGATGCTGGCGAAGTGGCCCAGGGAAGTGCACATGTCTCTCCCTGCTCTTCCAGGGTGATTTTTTTGATGTCTGGCTCTTGGTCCTTGTTTCCACTGGTTTTCCATCCCCATGGGGCAGAAACAGTTGCTCCTGGGAGCAGAAAAGGAATTGAGGTGGGCAGGCAGAAGAGCCTGGATTGCTCACTTTTTTGGGAAACTTACATGTTGAGATCTACAGAGATCCAGGAAACCAAAGCCCTGCTGAGCAGAGCCATTTTGTGGCTATTTCTGGAGGCCCAGGAGTGTGGCTGCAAGAGAAGAGGGGCTGGAGGAAGATCCGGAGGGCAGGGGTGTTCCCTCTGCTGATGATGGATGCCCCTAACACCTGTGCCTAACACCCCTACCGAGCCCCACAGCTCCAGCCTTAGTTTTTGGAGTCAAGTGTTAAAGGTTTCTGGCCAGAGGAATTGGGGTCTTGCCATCCCTGCAATAGCCCTTTTATGGGCTCTGGGAGACAGCTTTAGGGAATAAATGGGGGTTTTCCCCTTTTTCTACCCACTCCTTTGCTTCCTCCAAGGCTTACCCAACCCCTGCCCTCTCAGAGAACCAAATAGCCTGAAGAAGCAGGAGAGTTCCTGGTTATGGCAGTTTCTTGGTGATTGGGGCTTCAAGACAGTAGGTGAGAGATGCTGTCAGGACATACCTTCCTCATACCAAAGTCACTGGTCCTTTCTCAGCCTCTCTTATGCTTTTCTCCTAATGACCATATTTTTGCCAAAAATTGGGATATGTTATCTGACAGACCAGAATATTTGAAGTTTGGGCTGTCCTGAAAGTCTGGATTTTGGTGGTACCCTCCTCCCCCAGCCCATCTGTTGCACATTATACTCCGTGTGTTCTTCAACTTTCGGTGCCCTTATTCCCCTGCCTTCCTGGCTTGATTGAAGGAAAGCTTGAAAAGGCGCAGAGCCCTTATACCTCATTTCTTCCCTGATAAAAGGATCCAGGTGAGGTCCTGTCACAGCCTGTGGGTAGGGGATGTGGCGGGATCCTCATTGCCATGGTACTCAAAGGCAGAAGAGCCTGGAGTTTGTTGCTTCTCTGCTATTCTTTCATATCTTGGGCCTGGTGATTAGCAATTCTCATTCCTCTCAGCCAAAGGCCTGCACTGGGTTTTATTTGTCCTTTTTCATTTTTTAAGCACTGCCTGCCAGAGACGGGCCTGGGGCCTGATGAGGACCTTAGCGCTGCTCGTTCTCCTTTTTGGTTCATGCACACATTCCTCTGTGGCGTGGGGAAAGCAGGCCCTCCTCAGAGAAGTCAGGGGTTCCCCGGCTCGAGGTATAGTGGCAAAGACCTAGTGGTCCCCTACCCCCACATCTCTCAGTTCCTGGCATGAGGAGAGAAGACCTTGCCCTGGTGGAGCTGACAACCTTCGAGGCTGGGAGGAGAGAGCAGCCTCTGGGCATCGTTCCCAGTGTCCCCCACACTAAAACGGTGTAGATGGCAACACCCCCCGCCCGCCACCCCGCTGCTCACCTCTTGTGTTTGTGGTTCTGTTTGCCCCATTTATCTGTTGCTATTTTTGTGTTGTCTTCCCCCGCTCCACATTTTGTAAAATGGCTCCTGGGGGAGTGTCTTTGCTGGATCTGCTCCCTCTCGCCCTCTCACTCCACTACTTTTTGGAAGAAAGTGATGGCAGAATGCGGTGGTGGTGGGGGGTCTTTTGTACTGTTGGATTAATAAAATGACTAAAATCCCAGACAAGGACTCCTTGCTGTTGCTGTGTGAAAAGGCTGGAATGAGCCACTGTCACTGCTGGGTAGGGTGCTTAGGGGTTGAGGATATGTATAATCCCCAGGGTCCCTGGGAGTGGGAATGGCAGATTTGGCCCCTGAACTGACCCTGGTATAAGCTGCTGAGCCAAGGGAGGCCTGTGTTTCCCCGCCCATCCCCCTGTGTCTCAGCTGTGAGAAACTGAGTTTCCTTTCTGAGCATATTCCTGGTCCAGGCCTGGAGCCAGGAGGATTTGGCACCAAAGCCTCTGGAAGACAAGTGCTTGAGCTCTTCTGGGTTTAGCACCCCACCCACCTCCCAGTTGTTTGGGTTAGGGAGCAAGTGTAGCTCTAAGGGTGAGGGGAGGGGTTACTCCTGTTACAGCAAATTTCATTTTGGGATGTTTTTCAGATCGTTCCCGTCCCCCAACAGTTCTTTTAAAAGTAGCCATGGCATCTTTTAAGCAGTCTGTGCTGGAGCAGATTGGGGAGAATGGCAGAAGGGCTATTTCCACACCCTGGATTTGCGACCTGTCTCTCTCCCTTCCCCCATCTCACAGCTGTCTCTGTCTATCCGGGGACCAACCTGGCCCCTTCGTCATCTCAGAAGACGGCACCCTCTGCCTTTCTCTCAGTTTGTGGGGGAGGGGGTTCCCTCTAGAAACTGTTTAGACACTGGGAAAGAAGGGCAGGAAACTCAGGATTCAGTTAGCTGAGACCCCGGTCGTCCACCCGGTAAGCTCAAGTTTAGGGGCCCTGTCGCTAGACCTCCCTTCTCCTCCCTTGACTCTCAAGTCCTTCTCTTATTGGCCAAAAGTTTCCGCCCCCTTGGGGATGTTGACTTTTCATTGGTCAGTTTCTGGTCACATGATTCTCTTCTCGGGCTGCAAACGAAGGGAAGCCAGCAACAAGTTAAGCTGAAGACCGAAGCAAGAGCTGGGTCAGGTAATGCCTTAGCTGGGAAGGGGTCTACAGATTCCCTGTGACGGGGGTGGAATAAGGAAAAGGGAAGGCGGAACTAATCTAGAAGGAATGAGCTGCTTTTGATTTCCGGGCTGGGGGAGGAGGGCCAGGTGCCGACACTAACAAAACAGGAACCCCAGGCAAGTGGCCCTAGATCCTTTGCTTTAGAGGTTTGGAGGCGCAACTGTTAGAAGAGTTTTAAATTAACTAGAGACGAGACTTCCTAGCTTTGTACTGAGTGGGAGAGCTCCCCCTTTAGCTGTTTTTTAGAAATAGCAGAAGTCTCTGTCATAATCCTTACAGGAGGTGTTTGTTGAATCCTGCCTGAATGAAAAGAAGGGGGTGGGGGGAGGGCGTGGAGGTGGGTTTTCTTCCAGAAGGTCGATGAAAAGAAAAAGATCTGGAAACACAGCAGGGAAGGGTGGAGATTAGACAGCAGAAGGAACTTCCTAATAAGGCAGTGAGATGCTGGCTTGGGAGAAGAGGGGTATTTTTTTGAATCCTGGGTTAACCTAACCGAGAGAGAGATATCAGGGTTTGGGACCCAGAGTATAGGAGCTTCAGAGTGTCTCCTATTTGGGTCTCATAAGTATTTGTTTTGTTGACCCAAATACCTTTGCTGGTTTCCATGGAGACAGTGGGTCTGACATCACTGTGGTTGCCATGGTGCCTGGTTCTAGAGGACCTGAGCAGGCTGTACACACAGCTAGGGATAAACAGGGACTTCAGCCCAAGCTGCTGCCACTTCCTTCCTGCCACCACCTGTTAACAGTCAGCAACTGGGGATGGGGAGATGATGACAACGGCGGGGGCGGAGCCACAAGCGGAAGGCTGAACGGCCATGGCTCTATGGATACTTAGAGATGCATGTCAGGGTGTCCTTTTGGACTTGGTACAGGGAAGTCATTGCAGCCATTTTCCTGTCTCTGTGTGGGATGGGTGCATGTGTCTGGGAGGATGGGCACTGGGAAAGACCTATCCAGGACTTGGATCTTGACTGACAGGAGCCACAGGAGGTTATTTAGGGCACCACGTGGGACTTGAAAACAGCTCAAACAGAAGGGGATAATGTGGTTGGTTTCGAAGGTAGAACTGCCGTACTGTCCCAGCCTCACTTCCCTTTTCCTGAGTTTCCTTATAAAGTGCTGGGGAAGCAGTCATTTATCCTCTTCTGAAGGATCACAATCCAGTACTCTTGAGAGGTCAGCTCATCTATCCTTCCACCTTTATGCCTGGTCCCAACAGGAGCTGCCTGAGGGAACTGTCTTAGCCTTGGATGAAGGGGCGGATCCCTCTCTTCTTACTCTGCTTTGTGTCAGTCAGGCTTTGGAAACTGGAGTGATTCCCTCCCCTGTCCCTGTCAAGTCAGAGCAGATTAACGAGGTGCAGGACCATAGCCCTGATTTTTGTCTATCTTTTGCAAGCTATAAAGTGGTGTATATATACATGATAGTTGCCATAAATCCATTTTCCCAGTCACCTTCAAGTTCCCGAACACCAAACTCTGGCGATTACTAAGAAGGTAAACAGAATTTATGATGGAGCTGAGAGTGATGAGGAGACTTAAAAAAGGTGCATCCAGGTGGATATAAGCTATGCCAGTGGTTCTCAACCCTGGGTGCGCATGAGAATCATTTGAGAGGTTTTTAAAAAGACCCACGCCTGGGCCTACACCCCAACTCAATTGAATCAAAATCTTAGGTGATTCCAATGTGCAACCAAGATTGAGAACCATTGAACAAGACCATACCAAGGACTTATGCTGGGCAAGTGGTGGGACATTTAGGGCTGAAAGAGGCCATCAAGTCTTCCTTTGCAGGTCCTGGGGGAGAAGGTAGTGATTGTGTAGGTACCTGGTGTTGGGAAGGGAGGGCTGTGTTGTTTTCCTGCTCTTCTTATTAACAAGGCTTCTTATTGGCAAGTTAAGTCTGTCAACCTTGCTGGGCTTAATCTTCCCTGACTAAAATGTCAGGGGGCTGGACTGGAATTCCCCAGAGCCTTTCCAGCCTATGCTACTTTGACCTTTCAAGGTCAGTTCAGTTTTCCAAGGCCCTGTTGGTCCCTGGAAGAGGCTGGCTTCTCTGTGGCTGTTGGCAGATTCTGATTTGCAAGGCAAATACTGCTTAGAAGAGTTGGGGTATCAGGGAGAGAAGGACTGGAACCAGGCTTGGTTCTGGAGGCTGCTGCCCAGCACTTGAACCTTGGAACCCAGCCAAGGCTGTTTTCTGCATCCTGCCCCTCCTGAAAGGAGCACCCATCCTTAAGAGAGCTTTCTTCTGCAGGTGGCAGCCACAGCAGCCTCAGGGACCTCAGCAACTATGGCCTCCTGCCCAGACTCTGATAATAGCTGGGTGCTTGCTGGCTCCGAGGTATGAAGAGCAGGCCTGGGAACCATGGGGGCAGGCTTGGGGGGTGTTTCTGCAGTGCTGGGCTTCTTTCTTGGTGGGTCCTTTTCCTTAGTCCTGATGGTCACCTGCATCACTTCCTGCTGGCTGTTAGAGGAACTCCAGTAGCAGGAAGAAGGAGATCGGGCCCCAGGGCTCAGGTGTTGGCACTTGGACCATGCTATGAAAGAAGGGACCAGTTCGGTAAGCCGAGACAAGTAGGGAGGGATTTCGAATGGAGAGACCAATGTGAACAAAGGTCCCGAGGCGATAGTGGGGAAAGCCATGCTGGGGGAGACTGTGGGACACCCATGGGTGATGTGGAGACGTGAGTTGGAGCCAGTGTTGGAGTGAGGTTGGGGGCAGAACCTCGGAACCCCTGGAAGAGACCTGAAGGGCCTGGCTGAGGCCTTCAGGCCTCATCCTGATGGGAAATCAATGTGGGGCTTTGGGTTAGAGGGATCAGGACAATCATTGTCTTGGGCAGAGGCTGAAGCCACTGTGCAGCCTGGGTGGGAACAGGGAGAGAGTGTTTTGAAGACCCCCTGCAGCAGTCCAGGTAGCAGCTGGTGGGGCAGAAGCCCACTGAGGAGGGAGAAGGGGGCTGGTAGGATGGGGAACTGAGTAGCTAGAGAAGGGATGGCAAAAATTTGTCAAAGGCATCTCTGAGAGTTCCAAGACCTTGCGACTTTGTATATTAGAGCCACCAGGAGGGGAGGAGGGGAGGAGCTCGGTTTCAATATGTTGAGTTTGAGGTGCTCTTGAGGAACCCAGCTGGGAGTAAGGAGTTGACCTTGGGGATGATGCTGGAGCAAGATACATGGATTGGGACTCGCTGGCAGAGGGAAGGCAGGTATGAGCAGATGGGCACCAGGCTCTCAGAGCCCTGGCCTCCTGTTGAGGTGTCTTTGTTGACAGCTGGGGGACCTTGGGCATGCCATGTCACCTCTCTGTCCTCTCCTGTAAAATGGGGGTCATGATTTTTGCCTTATAGGAGGGACCATGAGAATAAAAATGTTTTGAAAATGGCAAAGACACAACTAAGATGAAGCATTATTCTCAAAGGGATAGTTGGAGCCACGGGGCAGGTGGCAGGCCAGGGCCCTGAGGAAGGGGAGTAGGCAGAGGGAGGAGGCCAAGGCTGTGTGGTCAGGGCTGAATGTTCAGGCTGAGAGCACCCTGGAGACAGGCTGTCTGTGGTTGGGGTGGGTTGGGCTTCTGTGAGCAGCTGCTGGGTGTCGGGGGAGTGTCAGGGGCCAGTGGGAAAGGCCAGAAAGGCTTAGGAGATGTAAGTAGTTGTCCAGTTGAGAGGGCAGCTGCAGTGACACCCTGGGAGGCATAACTGTGACCCGTGGGCACCCAGGGAACTTTGTTCTCTTACTTTCCTCCTACCCTTAATATTATAATATCTGTGTTGTTCATCTGTGGGGAAGGAAGTGCTACTGATCTTGAGGGGAGGGAAATCTAGGCTGTAGCTCACCTCCTGGCGGTGGGGCACCAGGTTTGTGCTGCATCCAGTGCCTTGGTGTGGTGGTGCTTCTCTGTGTAGCGGAAACCTGGCCCCTGAAAGTTCCTCCTCGCAGTGAGTGAGGCTGGGGAATGGTCAAGCACTTAGTGCTGCCCGGAGCCCCTTTTCGGGCCG